CACAGCACACTTTTTGTCTAAGGAAAATATAGTGAATGATTTTAAAGGAAGACTTCTGTATATTTTAACCTTTTCTCTATCTTCCTATTTAAATATCTAATTTTGTGATAACCTGAAATAAAGGATTAATACAATTTTGAGCTGATCATATTTTCGTGTCGGTCATTTAATGGGTGATTAGATGAGATAATGTCACATACCTTGTCCAGAGAAATGTGTCAATAGAAGGGAAACCTGTGTTTCGAGGCACACAAGCCATTTTGTTTTTAAGTATACTCTAGCTCGTTTTATGTTACTCTGAAGTGAATTATTTATTTCAAAGTTGAACATTACTGCATGACGATTGTTTTGAGAACACTGTTACACAAGTATAAAGTGTAAGCATTAGCAAGCTGCAAGTTTATGCAAGACCAGCTACAAATAGCCTATAACTGCATGATCTCTCTGTTTCAAAGACAGAACAATCTGGGGACATCTGGTACGGCTAATAGAGACATTTGGACACTGCAAAGGTTATATAAAATAGTAAGACGACATACAAATGTTGAATATAAGGACAACATATTAATCCTCCATATCCTGTATGGCAATGCTGATATATTCCCAATAGGGGCAGCAATGCACTTGAGATATGGCTCTGACTGTATATTCTCAAGTAATGATCAGTAATGATACTAGATAATAGAGATAGATTCATATAAATGTATTTGCTGCACACTCGGATAGATATTTCCATAAGCATAAGCTAATAACATACATGAATATTGCCACATGCATTGCTTTTAGTGACTTCTGTTTACTGAATCTATTTAATTACAATACAACGAGACAATCCATAGACACGTTGAACCGACACATTTTTTTTTCGTATTTCAATAAATAAATATTTGTTATATATTTAAAATATCTAAAAATAATATCCTTTATTTATCTTTCGTTTCAATATTGCACTGTTGCAGTGTGAGCGAGCAGCTGCATGACAGGGGGAGGAGCAGGCACTGCAGAGCAAACAGATGAGCGGATGTTAGCGCTGTGAGCTGTTAGCCTGCAGACAACCTTAGCAAACAATATGACACGAACGTTGCTAAAGCTAAGGAACCTTCATCTACAATGCTCTGCGATTTTTGATGCTGCTCCACGTTTCGTAGGAAAGACATTTCATATTCAAACAGTCGCTCTTAACAAAGGCAAGCTGGACCTTAGGATGGATAACGTATCTATTAGCATGTCAAGTGCTTAATGACGTTAGCTTTGCTATCATGCCTAGCATTTAGTACATGAAACCGGGATGGTTTTACTATGTTAAGTTATTCATCTGTACTGAGCTCGTAACACCCGCAACACTACGTCTGCTATATTCTGGTGCAATGCGTAAGTAAAGTGAGGCTTGATATTGACCTAACATCTTCCTGTTCTTTAGTTACATATCATTGTGACGGGAGGAGGCGGTTGTTTACATTAGCAGCTCTCGCGAGAACTTTTTGACAAACGGGTTGGCATCATGGGTTGGCATAGTTACCTTACAGAAAATACTTACTTTCCTTTATGTTTATTGAATAGGTTTTCCACCAAAGGCATTCATGACAGTTGTGTAGCTTTTATTAATACGATCTTGGAGTTACTTTCATTACACTTGCGCTGTATAATAAAGTATCTGTTCGAAGTTTGGGTTTTCTAGGGGAGGGGCTAATTTGGCGGTCCTTCCGGAGCGGGAAATTCGTTTTAAATAGTAATACCGCGAAGAAATCGGAGTAGAAGCTTGAGAGGTTGTATACCTTGTAGTAGTCGGCTGTAGTTGTGTCTCTTGGTTAGTAAGTAGTACGTCTTAAGTCCGTATAAACAATTTAGTGTACTATCCGTTTTAACTGTAAAACTTTGCCATCATGCCCGCTCTAGAAGTTAAAGATGCATCTACAATTTCTCCTTCGAAGAGGGCAAGGACCGAGACAAAGCCTGCAGAGGAAAGATCTGTCCTCAGGTTTGCAAAACTCTCAGAGCATGCTACCACACCGACCAGAGGCTCAAACAAAGCAGCGGGATATGATCTCTACAGGTTGGTTTTGCACTTTGAATAAAATGCTTGTGTTCTGAATTGACTTAATGACAATTTAACGTTTGCGTAAATTAGGTTTAGTATGAATATTGTGACCGTATAGTCCTTAAAATGTATGTTTAATGACTTGGTATACATATGTTAAAATCCAACTGTTGCTGTCACTTAAAATGTTTGAGAACAATAAGCTCATGCATCTACAGAGGTTGAATTTACTTGCTGAATGTAATCCTGTGTAAAAAAAAAAAGAAGTATTTTATATATTGTCATGTAAACAACAAACCATATTTCTCTGAATTTAAACAGTGCCTATGATTACACCCTTGGTCCTATGGATAAGGCCATTGTGAAGACAGACATACAGATAGCAGTTCCTCATGGCTGCTATGGGAGAGTTGGTGAGTGTTTGTCATGCTGATGCAACTCCAGCATTATGTGTTTTTCCTGCTGAGTGACTACAGACGACTGTTTTTAAGTTTTGCTCAGTGTATGTATATTCAAGCTTAGATATGAAACCAGTTGCAGAACAACATGTCTTAATTATATCTTATCATTTGTTTTACTCAGCACCGAGGTCTGGACTGGCAGCCAAACACTTCATTGATGTTGGTGGTGAGTCTTCACCTGTTTCGTCTACTTGTACTGACTGAGTAAGTGTAGTTTTAACCTTTTGTCATGCAAGTCATTTAATTTCTCTGATGTCTCTGATCTCCTCAGCTGGGGTTGTAGATGAAGACTATAGAGGAAATGTGGGAGTTGTGCTCTTCAACTTCAGCAAGGACACATTTGATGGTGAGTCGTGAAATTAGTGACGTAACTGAGTTTTCCCTTAACCCATTTGTATTTTTGAGAATTCACTATACCAACAGTAAACATAACTTGAGTTTCAATCTTCCCTGCTTGATTCTTTTAAAATTCATCTGTGTGAAATGACACATTTTCCCAGAGTATTTTTTTATATGCACTGTTAATAAAATGTAATTGTTTCTCTGATTTACTTACCAAAGCTGCCTATTTTTTTTTTTTTTTTGTTGCAATTTTACAGTTTGTAACATTTCAACTGCCTAAAAGTGATTTGAAAATAAATTGTACATCTAAAATGATCATTCAAATATTTTAAATGTAGGTTGGACCTTTATTACAGCATGCATTGATGTCATGCAATTTAAGATATGCAATGTAAAAACCATTGTCTCATCTCTTGCTATTCATCTTTGCAGTAAAAAAGGGTGACAGAGTTGCTCAGTTGGTCTGTGAGAGGATCTGCTACCCCGATCTGGAGGAACAAGAGGTAAACTGCAAGAACAATATAAATGCGTACATGCACTCAGTTTGATTAAGAACACTTTGCTAAGACGAATGCAGTTTTAATACCCTGCAATATATCTGAGCTTCATGAAAGTTACAATGTTCAGCTTTATTAGAAGTTTGGTATTTATTGAAGCAGGTTCTTTCCGAAGTCCTCCGATTTAGTTTTGAATCATTAAATCTACTTTCTGCCTGTGACTTTCAGACGCTTGATGAGACAGAGCGTGGCGCTGGAGGTTTTGGATCAACTGGACGCAATTGAGAGCTCCAACTAAAGGTGGAGGTGTACATGCTGAATATATTAAATAAAGTTTTGTTTTTGTATTCTGGAGTCTTTATTTACTGGGACTGTCACATTGAGTTCTGTCTCAAACGTATTGTCTGATCCTCTTCAAAGTTAAACAAATCTTCAAAATCACCACATGGGGGCAGCACAGGACAATAATTGCATGTTGGTCTTATAAGCTTCACACTGCTCACACATCAACAAATGAAAGCTCCATTCATAGGTGTGTTCCAGAGATTTCTGACATGAAGCAACTGCCTGTAGCTGAATGTGATTACAAAGTAAATCTGGATTAAGGGGAATCACAGCAGTGAATACTTGTACACCAAAAATATGTTTTTATTGTGAATTTACAACTAAACCTCACTGATGTGAACAGAGAACACAGACTCGTGTCAGGCTGGTCCGTGGCAATGCAGCACTGATTGTGTTTGTGAGAGAATGTGTGGTCACTAAGACCTCAGTGCATAATCATGAAGGCCCAGGTTAGGCATTATCAATGTGTGTGTATGTATACACAGTTTACAAAGGAAGTAGTTGGTCATTATAAGCACCATTACAAACCCCTCTATTCCAGGGGCTTCCTCTAGTTTACAAATGCTTCATAGATTAAAAGTGGCATCGATTATTACAGTATAAACACAATTTACATGTAGTATAGAGAGCAGACAGGCTATGAAGCTAGCTGTTACTGTTGCAAAGACATGACATTTTCAGAACGACCAATGGAATTGTATAATTGTTGACTACTGAGTTGTGTATAGTAATACAGTGCATTCAGATGTCTATGTAGTTGTGTAGCTAGCACCAGTAAATATGAATTATTCTAGTCAGTAGGGAAGATGTAAAAGCATAGTTTAAATATGCAGTAGGAGTCATTCAAGCTCTCTCATCTCAATAGTTCATGGTTGGTTCCTTTCCTCTCCTAAACATTCCCATAACATTCTTTCATCTTCACTCCATGAAATTAATAACTATGGAAAGAAGAAATGTGTTTACTTTCATGTATGCAGGTTTGTTCGGTTATTTACCTGAGGGGAGGAAATGAATTCATCGCAGACTATTGGGACTCACTCTTTCCTCTCACCTAAGCTTGGTTCTAAAAAGTTCTTTCTGCAGTCCTCATGCCCTTTCAAAGAGGCACTTGATTCCACATATCATCTTACAACGTTAAACCCTACCCTGAAAAACCATTCACAATCTTTCTAGTGCTTCACACACTGCTGATGTTGTGTGTTAGGGCAATGAGTTCTTCATTTGACTGAAATCTATCATATCGCCTTAATCAGCTGGCTTTTTCCACCAAAATTGTATCTATGATATGTAGAATCATCTTTGGCAATATTTTGCATCTTTGTATCTATGATATGTAGAATCATCTTTGGCATCTTTTGCCAACCCTCCTTCTTGTCTCTTTGGTGGCGAGCCGATCTCCCTGTGGGAGCAAGTAGAAGTTGCCCCTGACTGCTGATCCAGAGTCAGAGATGTTTTAGCTTTTTTTGGAAGTGTGAGCCTGACACTGAATTAGCAGCTGCCTGCAACATCTGCCTGTCTCAGTCTTGTGATGGCTAATGAAGGACGATCTGCACCCTCATCTTCAGTATGTCTCCCAGCTGTCCTGTGAGGTAGTCTTTATCGTGTCGATCCTCCAGCTCAGCCAGCTCCTTCTTCCTGTACGTGGGCAGGCTGCTGATCTGAAGGGAGTATGCCCCTGAGAGCAGGGCCTTCTTCTTGCTCAGATGCAAGTAGCTAACGCCCTCTCTCTGATTTATCTTGAAGTAGCCTTCTTCATTTCCGTAGTCGATGCTGTAGCGCACATGGTCACTGAGTGCGGATAAGGCTGGGGTGAACTCCAGGATGTGGTCGCGGTTGCTCAGGTCGCTGATGTTCAGGTGGATGTGCAACGTGTCCTCGATGTCCACACTGGCCAGGCTCACCATCTCCTCAGTCAGCTGCAGAAAGAAACGTGTTCCAAGTGAATGAAGTGGATAATAACACGTGTCCTACACAGTATGTTTTCTGTTTTCTTATTCAAAAGAGCAATAGTGAGATCCTTATTTTTCAGATTCAATCCCTAACATGTTAAAAGATGGACCAACACTTTTCCAGTGGTAAATACTGAAGCCTTTACTACGCTTATTATTTTGTTGGCCTGAAATTTGGAAAATAGCCTGGAATACGTTTTCCAAACAACTCTTTAAGTCTGAATTGTTGATGTATTTCTGTGTCCTTATTGGTAGCTACAGTGGTGCATATTGCATTCAGGCAGACAGGTCACCTGCGAGTCGTCCTGAGGATCCTCCTGTGTCGAGTTGGTGCTGCGGCGTTTGCGTCCCTTCTTGGGATATCCGTTGATCTTACATTCATAGCAGGCCTCGTGAGACAGAGAGTTATCATCTGCCTCACCTTCCGATCCAGCACTGGAACCGCCACTAGTGAAGCCCAGACCTGTGACACAGTGCCTGAAAATAAGACAAAGCTGTCAGTAACTTAGAACCATCTACAGAGAGATTTCTCACAGCCAGAGATGGCAAAATTACACACATCCTTTACTCAAGTAGAAGTACAGATACTTGTGTTTAAAAATACTCTGGTAAAAGTAGAAGTACTGACTAAACTCCTTTACTCAAAGTACTAAAAGTAAAGAAGTATGGGCTTTGAAATGTACTTAAGTAAAAAGTGCCCATAACTACCAACTGTTTTAAAGAGTAACTGACCTCCTCTAATAATGAATGTTTCGATGCTGAACAACAGCAAAATGACAAAGTTTTCATTGGAACATTTGACAGGAAATGATGGATACACGGTTCATGTTCAAATCAATAGGCACGCAATGACTCTAAATAATAATGATCACGCCACCAAACACAGATCAAAACTAAAGTAACGAGCCTGTTTTGAAAATGTAAGAAGTAGAAAGTACAGGTATTTGTGTTAGAAATGTAAGAAGTAAAAGTTAAAAAAGTCGTCAGAAAAACAAGTGGTGGAGAAAAGTACTGGTACCAGAAAAATGTACTTAAGTACAGTAACAAAGCATTTGTACTCCACTACTTCCCATCTCTGCTCACAGCCATGCATTAACGTACCCTTGTCCTGCACGGAAGTAACCATTGGGACATCCACAGAGGTAGCCCCCGTCCGTGTTGGAGCAGCCGAACTTGCAGGGGTTTTGGCTGGTGGAGCACTCGTTGACGTCTGAGCAGCCCGCGTCTGTCTGCTCGTAGTTAAAGCCGGTGGGGCAGAGGCAGCGGAAGCTCCCCAGGGTGTTGTGGCATGACGCTCCGCCGCAGATCTGGCTGTTCTGACACTCGTTCTCATCTGGGTCACAGGAAGTAAACAAACAAGAGGTCCTTCCAGTTAAAGGACACACAATGCTGGGAAAGCTGGCCATGAATGTGTATATATGTGGAGGGACTCAAACAAAAAATAAAGCTTTAACTAACAAAAGCTCTTCATTTGGGGGCATACACACACACTGCACCATACAATTACTTTATCTAAGCCTGAATTATTTCTAATTATGTTCGTTATAGGTTGTATATTAAGTGTGTGTGTATATATATATAATAACTTGTCGTTTGAGCATTTATTTTTAAAAACATTTCCTTTCTCATGACCTTACCCCAGCAAGGGAAGGGTTGAACTTCCAGAGCAAAGAAAAAACATTTTTGACATATTTATATCTTAAGAGTGACAGGAAAGACATGAAGAATGGATGACTTGTTTTAAAAAAGGCTCGAGGCTGGGCTCCAGTCCAGAACATCAAGGCTGCATGGTACGTATTTTGGCAACAAGGCATCAGGATGTCCCAAAAGGAAATTGTTTGTATATTTGCAAATAAAAAATAACGGCAGTATTACGCACCTACACACTGGTTCCACTGGTAGTGCTGTAGGTAGCCTTGAGGACAGCTGCACCTGTATCCACCAACCAGGTTCTGACAGCCATGCTGACACCTGTGGTTTCCATCACACTCATCCATATCTGTGAGGGACAGAAACAACAAAACTACAGTAAGAGCCTACTTTTTGTAATGAAACAGCAGATACTCAAGTTGTTAAAAACTGTTGTCAGACCTTTACAGCTTTGTCCATTGGGATCTAATGAGAATCCCCGCTGGCAATCGCAGTTGAAGCTCCCTGGAGTGTTCTGGCAGGCCCCGTTGGAGCCACACATGTTGGGGTCGGATGCACATTCATTGTTGTCTACACAGAAGGAAGGTTCACACAGGGGTAAAACATCTTATTATATGCTGATTTGAAAGTGGATAGTCAAATTTGAGTCGACATTGGTTCCATTCTTTTTAAGGGTCGGCCCATTATGGACTGTTCATACAAATGATCTCATAGTCTGCAAGGGTTTAGGAATACAATCTCTCACCTACTGATTCAATTTCAGACCAAAGGAATTAATAACAAACATTTCAGTGAAATTGTGAATTGTTTACTTTGGGAATAATTGTTTGACAAAATAATCTAGCACAATGTCCATTTACAGGTTTTTCCCGGGAAAGAGACATTTAATCACAAACATGTTTGGCTGAAGTGACGGAAAATCTGAACCTAATTAGGAAATTCAAACTATTTACTAACACAGATCCAAGATTAGATCAGTCCGTCAACACAATCTGGAAATGTTTCTTTCAAATGCAGAACATAGTGAGTGTAGTATCAAAATACATTTTGTTTTACAGCTTGACCACTGTTGGTTACTAACTGCCAATTAACATCGAGCTGAGTCTGAAGTGCAAGCGACAATGAGAGAGATGGGAATTTGTTGTAACTTTTTAGATAGCCATTTTGGGACGGTGTGTTTGATAGATAATATGGACTTATTGTTCACATGGATTTACGCCTCAATTTTAAGAAGGCATTATTGTCAGTCAGTTTTAATGAATACAGCTACCTTAAATAACATTATATTAAAGAAGGATTTACACTTATTTACAGTGGCAGTGATAAGGAAAAGGTGTATTAGAAAGAATAAAATGTCTTTATAATAAGTCTTGGCCCTTGAGCACCTGTCCGGGAGGAGTTTGGGTTTGGTTTCCTACACTAAAGCCCATCAGCAGTATTTACTGAAGTTTTCCTAATGTCACACCCATGTTTCTCCAACCTCCTTACTCTGAAATGAATAACACGTCTGCTGTATGTCATTAGTCTGCTGTTGCTCCTTTAGTCAAAACTGAGGTTTCCCTGTCCCTGATTTCATGTGAGGTCATGGGAGCTGCTTTATGGTCTGGAAAAAAAAAGCTTGTGGTAGTCATGGCGATCTGCTGCAACGTTCCATAACAAAGCATTGCTAAGCTGCCATGACTCCAAACTGGTGCAGCCTAATAAGATCAGTGTGATATCAGCCGGAGTCCATTAACGGGAGTAAGCAAAGGTTGGACAAAAGGCTGGTTCAGGGCTCCTTTATGAGCTTGGCAAGAAGATTTAGACTACTTTTAGAAATTACTGTGAGGGAACATACTGTGTGTATTTGACGCGATGCTTCTGGGAATACACAGACATTTGCATAACGAGTATTACAACATTTTTTGGATGTGCAGTGCATCTCTAATATGCATATGTTTATTTACCTATGCAGTCTGTTTGATGCTGGGTGAAGCCAGGAGGACATTTGCAGGTATACCCTCCGATAGTGTTAACACATAAGAACTGACAGTTATGCTGCTTTGTCGAACACTCATCCAGATCTGTAAAAAAGAGAGTTGTACAATATCAAACCTGCCATACATTGAAATAAAGTCATTTTACACATAATACATTTTAGTTGTGATGGAATTTACTTAAGTACTGTACATAAGTAAAATGTTCAGGTACTTGTCCTTTATTTCATACAAATGAGAAATATCTTACTTTTATATTCGTTTTATAACTAATGTTACTTTTTAATTTGTGGATTAATAAAACAAAATATAAATCAATTAATAATGATGGTTTAATAAAATGTAAGGGTTAGTGTTAAACTAACTAGCAGACATTGTAATGAGATCCACATTTGCCAACTGCAAATTAAAGCAGTGAACAAATCAAATGCATCAATAATTAAAATTAAATAATATAATGTGTCCTGAAAAGGGCCTTTCTGTATAATAGGTACTGTAACTTTTGGTATATTTAGATGACAACACTTTTGTACCATTAGGTAAGATTTTAAATGCAGGACTTGTACTTCTAGTAAAGTCCTTTTACTTCCTCTTCTGCATCAACATACAGTGGTTTGAGCTGTGTAAGATACTGTATGCTGCTATTTGCTGTGAGTAAAAATTCCAGTCCTTCTACAGTCAGTGACCTACAAATGACCTGCAAATGAACCAGACAGCGGAAACACAGAGGGGGACTGAAGGGGGGGAAACTACAGCTATGGTAAATAAAGTTGAAAGAGGACCTGAAAAAAACCAAGAGCATGCACTTGTTTACTTGTTACTCTTAAAACACACTTCTTCTCCCTGGCCTTTTAGTCAGAGCGGAGCACGACTCCTGACTTTTCCCTGTGTTTTTTATATATCTGTTGTAATTTATTGTGATTGTAGTAATGTCTTTTTATATGATTGTAGTATTTATTACATTTACAGCACTTTGGCCCGATCAAAAATCGCTTTTAAATGTGCTTTATAAATGTGCTTTATAAATGTGGTTTATAAATAAACTTTGATTTGATTTAGACTCACAAACAAGCCTGATAAACAGAGACCCTGCCAGATGCACGGTGTCACAGGCTTTGATGCAGAGTACAGATTCACTAACAAACACATTGATACTAGCAAGTCAGTGAAGGAGCGTCTTCACACAGTGATTCACTGTTCTGCTCACTGCCTCCTTCCAAGAGCACCCTGCTGAACTCAAGTAATGTGGGCTACTTTTGAATATTTAGATATGTTTTGCTTTGTGTCACTTACCTCTGCAGCTCTTTCCATCTTCCTGTAGGATGTATCCACGGGGGCAGGAACAGAGGTATGCTCCCTCTGTGTTCTTACAGATGAAATTACAAGGCTTTGGTGCTTGTATGCATTCATCCACATCTAGAGAGAGAGGGTGATAGTGAGACGGTGAGAGTTTGATCCTGAAGCCAGAAATTCCATAAGCGGAGATGATGAGACAGACAGACGCAGACTGCATTTTTTAGAGGAGTGTGTGGGCAGTCCACCCACGTATTTTCAGCTCTTTACTAGACAGCAGGAATGAGGATGGGAGGTAGGAATGGGAGGAAAAGAGTCCATAAAGTGTAAGTGCTGGAGGTTAAATTAAGCCTTACCCACACACTGTGTGCTGCTGATGTCAGTAGTGTAGCCGGTTTTGCAGGTGCAGCTATAGGAGCCCAGAGTGTTGAGACACTGACCGTTCTTGCACAAGTTGCCCATTACACGACACTCATCAATATCTGTAAGGTAACAAGGAAAGTTAGCTCCAGATAAACTCATCACAACTGAATTACAAGGAATATTCCTGAGTAGGAACAACAGTGTATTCTTTGTCCATGTCTTTGTTTCTTTAAGACAATATTCTTTGCCAAAATAAAACACAAACCTAATTGTTAAACGCATTTAGTTGTGCATCAGTGTTGTGTCAAGTATAAAAGTTGATTTTTACCGGCAAAGAAAAAACAATGCTTTACAGGTGATTAAATCAGTAGACAGCAAACAACAGGCATCTTAAAGGTCCCATGTCATGCTTTTCCGGTTATTACCCGTCCCCTTGTGTGTTATGTAGCCTTTTCTTCATGTAAACAGTCTGCAAAGTCACAAACCCTCAAAGTACACCCTGTAGCGAGTAAAACTCTAACACAGAAAAGACCTGTCTATGCTACTCTTCCTGAGTACAGTGACCATACCCAAGTCCAAATGGACCAATCCGTGGAGCTCCACACACACACACACACACACACACACACACACACACACACACACACACACACACACACACGTGTGTGTGTGGAGCTCCACGGATTGGTCCATTTGGACTTGGGTATGGTCNCACATCCTGGAGTGTCCGCGGGGTCGTGCCGGCGAGGTAATCAACAGCATCGGTCAGGCCTTTGAGGCTCGATTCCGCCAACTTCTCAGCAACGGGCCATCGCTCCTTTGCAACAATCCCAGGTTATCCATTTGTCTATTGTAGCTGTGTTATTGGTATGTTAATGTACTTGTTTTATGGAATTACTTTGTTTTTTTTACCTTGAGGGCCACCTTAGGACCGGACCTCAAAACCCTTCTCTTTCAAACATGCCTTCCTTTTATAGAGGCTGTGATTTTTTTGTGTCTTTTTTTAGATGTATACACACAGAGGAGAAAAATACATAAACTACGTTGGCCCTCAATGTCAAAACACAAGATCTCACAAAACACCAGAAAATATTCAGAAAGAAGAAACACATACAATTACAAATAAACCACAGTCTGTGTACAGTGAATGCAAGTCGGTATCGATGGATAGAAGGTCGCCTGTGGTGGTTTTGAAAGGTTTTTTGATGCTGTTTATAGACTCAGCACGTCTTCATGATGTGACATTCTGTGTGCAGGTCAGCAGTGAGGATCTTTTCAAACTGTGCTCCAGAGGACACGATAACAGACCAGAAGGCCAAGCAGGAAGGTGAAGTCAGGGAGCACTCTGACTACTACAATGTGATCCCAGGAAAGACGCCACCCACTGGCGGGATAGAGGACCTGCGCATCACAAGGGAGGAGAATAAACAAGATCCATCCGAAATACAGAGGGTAAGAGTTCAACAGGAGGATGGTCTACCCAGTTCTCAGCAGTTCGATCTGATCAAGTCCAACCATATCATATATTTATTTTAGTACCATTACATTTCACAAGTGGACAGCATAATTCATTTTTTATAGCAAATTAATTAAACCAAAGACAATTTCACATTTAAAAATAAATTGCTGAAGCATCTGAGTTTAAAAGGCCCTGTTCAAGATCACCTCGGTTGTTGGTAATAACTTCCCAGAATTACTGTGCTATTCTGGCAATTAAGTCAGCGACATTCAGGACATGATCACACGTCTCTAACATTTAAGCCATCACTCACACAAACACACACACACACACACACACACACACACACACACACACACACACACACACACACACACACACACACACACACACACACACACATCTGTCTTGTGTGTATGACTCATGTATTGCTGTTGCAGGTTTGTTCTGCTCAGCCTGTTTCACTGTATGAGAACTGCTCCATCACAGGAGGAACTCCAGCTCCACCTGCAGGTAAAACTCTGCCATTCCAAGTTAAATCATATGATGTATGTGAATGTGTGAAAAGACATACATTGGAACTTTGTGCATGCAAAAGTTTATTTTATAATTTTTTAATAAATGTTTATTAATTAATTACATGTTTGAATGTAATGTTTGTTATGTATCTGATCAAGTTCACATCAGCCCATTTATTTCCCTCATATTTTCATTGTGTTATTGTTAAAAGATCATAACTGTTTTGTTTATGCACCATTCAAAAAAATGATACATAAAATAAAATTAAGAAACCAGTTATATTAGATTAAACTACAATGTAAAAAGTACAGACTAGAATAAAGGAAGGGGCCAGCAAGCTTTCTTTACTCCCAAGATAGCAGCTCTAACATTGAGACTGCAGTGGTTCAAACATGAAACTCAACTACGTTTCAACATTTTTTTCCTGAAAGTACTCACTCAGATTAATATCTAAAGGCATCCATTAAAACACATCAACTTCCATTTTGAAGTTGACAAGAAATCAGACTTTAAATTGTTTTAAAAATCTGGAGTTGGGTACTTAATAGTGGTAACACTTATACCAGCAGTATTGAGTCAAATTAGATATAAAGAAAGATCTATTTTTATAACGCTAAATATTTGGTGCAAAATAATTATAAACCAAGATTTAATCCTTGTTCATACTTTGTAAAACCAACTGATTCTTGTTTGTGTTTTTCCTTGTTATACTCCATCAGACTCACTGGTACCTGAGGTCATTGCTGAACAGTGTGCCGCTCTCTCTGGGACACGGATCCAGGACCTGATCCAGGAAGAAGGCTGGTTCCACGGCAGGTGGGTCATCAACATGCTCCTCCACCAGTGAATTACAACTTAATGTGTCTGTCTGCTAACGTATACATCTCCCTATTCCTTTCTCAGTAACTCTTCTGTCCTTCATCCCAGGTTAGGCAGAGAGCAGGCGGAGGGGCTTCTCACCTGCAGTGGGGACTTCCTGGTCAGAGAGAGCAGCTCTGCCTCTGGTCAGTATGTCCTCAGCGGGATGGAGGGAGCCACCGTGCGGCACCTGCTGCTGGTCGATCCACACGGACAGGTCAGAGTTGTGATGTTCAAACACACACAGCATGAGGAGAGGCGAGTAGCAGCTGGCCCTAAAGTTTGGCCTTGTTGTCTTTGTGTGAGCAGGTGCGGACCCGTGATCAGGTGTTTCTGGGTGTTGGTCACCTGGTGCGTTTCCACATGGAGAACCAGATGCCAATCATCTCTGGAAACAGTGAGCTGTGCCTGAAAGAGCCAATCCTGCAAAGACATTCACATGCACTTTCATAGACAGTCACATGCATACATTAATAGAAGTTAACGGTTTTGAAGTGGAGGAACATTGGGCCAAAGCCAAAAAAAGAGCTTTCATCACTTTTAGCAACTTGAAAAAAAATCAACACGTGACATCACTTCCCAAAATATTGTATTATTTTGTCATTAAAGTATTGTTTGATTTCCTAAACATTTGAGTAAATTCTTCACTTGTGCACACTGTGCCTCGCCCTGTGTTGTGAACAGCCGCTGGTCTGCAGAACATCCTGCCTCTCTCTCTCTCTCTCAGGCTGAATCTGTTTGTGTTTACTCAAAGTCTAAGCACAATCACTGGTGTCGGGAGGAAATTACCAGAATGTTGGCAGACTTTCTGAATCTTTTTCTGACATGCTGAACTTGTCTTGTCTTAGTTTGTTTTGTATGTGTTATTGCTTTGTGTTCCCATTTCCCATGCTTGACTTTTGATTTAACGTGTTTTTTTTTTACATTCTAAATAAAATAGAAATCACTTTGTAACCAGAATGTAAAGAAACCGATTTGCACTTTAGTTGGAGAAGATGAGGCAAATATACAATAAGTAATGCAATGCAAAGATCTGCATGTTTCACGACAGTGTGGTGCTAGCAGTAAAGACATCATACAAAAACTACACAGCAACTTCAGGGTAAGAATCTTAAACTGCCTCAGCAGACTGGTTTTTATACATTTCCTTTCTGATTTGTTAAGGTTTTTGTATGAAAACAAAAAATTCACTTGGTTGTCATCAATACCTGAAAAGACTCGTTCACCAGAGCCCACACCTGGTAACATAATCACTTAGGAAATCAAGTTATAAACCGTGTTAGCTTGGATACGTTTAGCCACAAGATGGTGCTCTCAGTCTTTACAAGAGTTTATTGCTCTTCAGCCAACAACAAAATATGTTTTTTGGATTAAGCAATTACACTCTAGGCTAGTTTATTTCATTTCTAAAAAAAATTTAATTGGTTTTTTGGTTTTTGAAATCCTCCATAATGATGTGTGTTTATGATGGAATATAGTAAATACATCTTATCTCAAACCACTGATACAATGACATCCTGCTTTTTGTTATGTTTCGGTGTTCTAGAAACATATATGTCAGAAAGAGCGGTGAAAATGACTGGGAGTAAACAGCTTATAATAATTGCTGCAACACTTCTCCCTCAGTTTTCAGCTGCCTGTCACTTGCAGATTTTGGTGCAGTGAAAGATGACTGTGTGCTGAAAGTATGCAGCTGACTGTTTTCGGGCTGTGGCCCTCAGCGTCCTCTGAGAGGCTTGGAGGGTCTCGCCCACATTAATCACCCTCGGCGCTGCTTGTTGTGATCGGGGAACCTCTGGCAGCTTATGGGGAAATAAGCAGCCCTGCAGAACACTGATAGAGTATCTTAAGAAAAACAACACTTAAAGCCTTTCTGTTCAGATAAGTCAAATGTAATCACAGATCTCACATACATTCCCACAATCCCTAGCTTTTCGGGTGTCAAAAATAGGGCTTATCTCACTTGTTACAAAGAGCAGGAAATGAATTGTCTGACATGTTATCTCTGCTCTTTCCTACACACTTTATGCACAGGTTAATATGATAGTGATATATCCATCATATCTGATTGAGTCAGTAAACAAACACAAACTAAAAGTGTCTCTCCTCTAAACCAAAAGTCAGATAACTTTTATGAAAGCTGTCATAAGTGTTAAATTAAGTGATTCTTCAACCAAGTGAAGGGATTTTTCTGCTTCCATTACGTCCCCCTAGATTTTCTCTGAGTCACACAGACCTCGCCCAAAAATAACTCACCAAGGACAACAATGACATAGTGTGTGATGCCTGTGAGGCCTGCTGATGGTCAAATGTGACACACCTGTGAGGTCACTGTTTG